AGTATCTCTGGTACATTTCTCTGTACAGGAGACCAGTGGGGCCATTGAAGCCGTTTCAGACGTTTTTGCAGAAAATAATTTCCCTTAGGAAGCTAACATTTTCTCCCCAGAGTAATGACATTGTCCTGTTAAATCCAGAGGGCGAGAGTAAAATCTTCCCTCTTAACTAAGCTCACACGTGAATTTATGCTGAAGGCATTAGAGGGAGTTTGCTTTCCAAGATATCTTGGTAGATGATCTTGTCTTAAAAATCAGAATTTTGGCTCCTTTAAGCATGCTCTCCCTGGCATCTCTCTCATTTTTACTTTTATTAATAATAATTACATGCTTTGGAGACAAACAAATTTCCTTTACAATCCATGCATTGCCACTGTCATCCAGAGTGAATTTAGGGTGGAGGGAAGTTTCCTTTTTACCCATTAAGTACAAAACCTTTATTCTGGTGTCGTAGATTCACTCCTTCAGAATCTGAGGTGGATGTTTGTGTCAAGATACTTATGGGAGAGTACTCTTATTAACCACCTATATGAGGGAGCAAAGGAAGTAGGACTGGCCAGAGGCAGGAGTTGAACTGTGAAGCAGTTGTAACAGAGGCCCCAGCTGGGAACCCTAGAACTAGAATGGCCTACCAGAGTTGTCCAGAGTTGAGGTAAGTGGGCCTGGCCTTCATATCCCTGCATTACCAGCCATTGGATATGTACCACCTGTGGGAGGTGGTGCAACCCCTTTGAGCCAGGAAGCCTTCTTCAGCCAAAAGCAATTCCTGGGAGGGATGCTGCTGTGTGCCACCAGTGGCCAACATGCCTGGCATCTGGGGGAATGGGTGTCTTAGTCCTGAAGAGCAACCTGGACCGTGCACCCCAGCATCTACTATAGTTCACCACTTGCGTGCTCAGATCCACTGTCTTCAAATATTAAGTTCATCCCATTTGGGAATAGGTCATCAAGAATTCTGGTTAGCCTCTTTCCAGGGGAAGCTTACAAGAGGAAGGTTAGAAGATGAATCTCAGCCCCTTCACTGCTGCTGGTCTCAGGGCCACGTTGATACTCGTCATTTCTTTCCTCAACTACCCACCCTTCGCCCTCAGCACTTTTGCAGGTCAAAGTGGCTTATTTTGTGAGGCAACCCAGACTCTCATCCCTGAGGGGTGTGAATTCCTGATTACCATGTTCTTCTTGGTCTGTGACTGCTACATTTGACCTTCAAAATTGGGCAGGAGATTATCAAGAGACACCCCAGTAGACACCTGGTCAGAGGGAAATACTCCCTCTCTGCTGGCCAGGACCTGTGGACTTGATGAGCCTGGAGTTGTGAAAATGGGAGACATGGTCTCCCCAAGTACGCCACTGGGACTCCTACTTCCACCCCTTGGTTCCAGAGCCATGTATTCTATTCATGGCAGACAGTACTTGAAAAGTGTCATCTCCAAACTGATACCTCAGTACTTCTTCCAAAGATCAGCTGAGTACAGCAGCTTATGGCTTCTGCAGTAACTGATAAGAACACTGGATTCCACGCTCATATGCCCACTGCTGTACCTTCTTTGCTCCAAAGTGGATTCTTTGGTTCAAGGAACTTGGTTCAAGTTCCTCGATACTATATGTGATTCCGTACTGGTAGGCCAAACATTCTGTAGGCCTTTGGGTAGTAGGGCAGGCTGAGACCCTATGGGTAGAGAAAGCAAATCTATACCTAGAATATGTGTCAATTCCAGTCAAGATCAATCACTATCACTTTTAAATAGAAGGGGTTCAATCTAATCAACTTGCCTCTAAGTAGATGTTGGTCTTCTCAAGGGATGGTGCCACGTGGAGGATCACTGGTTTTTTTTACTGGCAGATAGGACATTTGACAGCAGTGGAAGCTAGATAAGACTTGGTGCAAGGAGCTCCATGCTGTTGGGCCCTTGTGTACCCTCCATCCATATCCCCATGGCCTTCTTTGTTCATCTGGCCATTGGCCAAAACTGGTAGGGCCCAATGACAGAGGCTGGCTGTCATCATGTGCTTCAGTCATTCTGTCTACTTAGTGGCCAAGGGGTATCAGTGTCCAGAGTCCTAAAAAATGTCTCAATATTTCTCTTTCTTCAGTGTATGGGTACCTGAGTAAATGGTCATAGATCCCTTTTGGGAAGGACTGAGTTAATATTACTATATACACTTGCTGTGGTATTCAATTATTATCAATTACTGATTATTTTCCCAGGATTTATCAAACATCTGATATATTGCATCTGCCAGTACACTCCCTTCCTCTGGTATCCTTTTCCAGTTCACCGTTGGTTAAAATTTTAACAATTGAACTGCTAAAATGTGCCAGGGACTATCCATTCTTCCCGTCCTAGTAGTGATGGAATCGTCATTGCGGCTGGCTAGCAGATAACCTCTCTCCAGAATCCCGTCTTATAGCCTCCTTGGTTGGGTCACTCCTGCACCAATAAATGCTCAATAATGACAATAAGGATAATAATAGCAAACCTTTATTAAGTGCTTACTCTGTGCCAGGCGCTGTTCTAAGTTCCTTTCACATATTAATACATTTTCCCCACAAACAACCCTCTGTGATAGACAGTGATATCCTAAGGCATAGAAAGGTAAGTAACTTTCTCAGATTCACATAGCTAAGTAAGTGGCAGAGCTGTGATTTGAACCCAGGCCTAATTTCAGAGCCCATGCTCATAATCAGTACATTATTCTACTCTAATTGCTAGTAGCTATTATTTTTATTATATCTTCTAACAAGTCCTTGACCTACAGTAATGTTATAAGAAAGGGCTTTGTTGGAATTTACACTTAGAGCTACATTTTGATGGATGGAGCCCATTTTAAAATGAGAAATCCTTTCCTTAGGAATATGGTTCTCAAAATTGTCTGTATATTAGGATCACCTGGGTAACTTTTAAAACTCTTAACACTCAGGCCACATGCCAAAACAATTCAGTCAGCATCTCTGGGGGTGAGATCAGACATCAGTACTTTTTGGAAGCTCTCCAGGTGGTTATAATATACAGCCACATTTTAGAACTGCTGCCCTAGGGCTCCATCTGCGTCTCTGCCTCCTAGCTGGGCTCTGCTCTTGGCTTTCTTCCCTCTGCAGTGTCTTCTCCAGGGAGCACATTCATTGTCCACGACTGTGATGGCTCATGTCTCTTTCTAAGGTCCTAGACTCACTCCTGCACTACACTTATGAAGTGGGCACAATTATTAATTCCCATTTTTCAGAGGAAATCAAGGCTCTGAGAAGTTAAGTAACTTACTCACCCCATGTCACATAGCTAGGAAGTCACAGCGCTAGGATGCAAACCGAGGCATTCTGGTTCTAGAGTCCGTGTGATTTGCTTTTATATTATGTCACTACTTCCTAGACATCTTCATCCATTTCTTGATTCTTATGTGCCACAGTAAACCTTTTAACTTCCCCCACCTCCAGCCTTCTCCCATGCCCCACCTTCAGCAAAAGAAAAGAAATGTTTTCTGTTCTCCTGAATTCTCTGTCTTCATTAAAGGCACCTAAAACTGGATTCATCTTTGATGCCTCCATTTCTTTTGGCACTTGTGTATAAGTGACCTATTAGAATGTTAGGTAGAAATTGGAAAATGAGCAGTAGAGTCTGACTGAAGTGGGGAGTGTGTGAGTGGAAAGTCCAGTAAGATCTGTGAAGTTGGTGAAGGGTAGGTTAATATTAGAATCCAATCAGTTGTTAGCTCCTGTTGATTCTGCCTCCTTAAAATCTCCCACGTCTGGCATTTCTCCATTGCCGCTACCATCGCCCTGATTCAAACCACCATTCCCTCCCTCTCTTCCAAACTCTTGCCCTTGTTTTCTGTTTTCTCCCACCTCCAATCCACCTTAGATCCAGATAAAGCCTGGCTGAAACACAGGTCTGATCATGGCATCTGAGCCTGCCTTGGATCAGCTGGTGAGAAGTACAGTCTCAAACTGTGAGAATGATTTTCCTAGAATATTAGAAAATTTAGAAAATCATGTCACTTGATCCAACCGATTTTCTCCTGCAGGAATAGGAACTATGCAAGTAGCAATCCTATTTGTACCTTATAGGCCATAGGATCCAGAACGTGAGGCGCAAACCCAGTTGCCTACAGGGGCCAGGCAGGGAATATAGGCAGGTACCGGGGGTAAGGGAGCCGGGGAGCTGAAGCAAACTGGAGCATTTCTCCCTGTGCAAAGAGTAGTCGCTGTCCACTGAGCACACTGTTACCTTGTGGTACTGTGGCCCCTATGTGGCCGGCTCTTCCCATTTTTCTCCAGAAGCCAGAACTTCCAGTTTAATATTATATCTCCTGGCTTTTAAATGTTAGAAACCAAATCAAAATTTTTACTAGCATAGTACTTACAAACAAATCATGCCCATGGGCTGATGTGTTCTGCGGCCTCCAGTTTGCAACCACTGGTCTAGGGAAGGTTGTTTTCTGCTCTATGTACTCTGACTCCCTGGTTGAATTGTAAATACCACAAGGCCTTGAATTAAAAAGTAGGTCCTTTCTCTTTCTGACTTACTTCACTCTGTATGACAGACTCTAGGTCTATCCACCTCATTACAAATAGCTCAATTTCGTTTCTTTTTGTGGCTGAGTAATATTCCACTGTATATATGTGCCACATCTTCTTTATCCATTCATCCGATGATGGACACTTAGGTTGTTTCCATCTCCTGGCTATTGCAAATAGAGCTGCAGTGAACATTTTGGTACATGACTCTTTTTGAATTATGGTTTTCTCAGGGTATATGCCCAGTAGTGGGATTGCTGGGTCATATGGTAGTTCTATTTGTAGTTTTTTAAGGAACCTCCTTACTGTTCTCCGTAGTGGCTGTACCAATTCACATTCCCACCAGCAGTGCAAGAGTGTTCCCTTTTCTCCACACCCTCTCCAGCATTTATTGTTTCTAGATATTTTGATGATGGCCATTCTGACTGGTGTGAGATGATATCTCATTGTAGTTTTGATTTGCATTTCTCTAATGATTAATGATGTTGAGCATTGAGGATATGGGGAGGGGGAAGGGTGAGCTGTGACAAAGCGAGAGAGAGACATGGACATATATACACTACAAACGTAAGGTAGATAGCTAGTGGGAAGCAGCCGCATAGCACAGGGAGATCAGCTCGGTGCTTTGTGACCGCCTGGAGGGGTGGGATAGGGAGGGTGGGAGGGAGGGAGACGCAAGAGGGAAGAGATATGGGAACATATGTATATGTATAACTGATTCACTTTGTTATAAAGCAGAAACTAACACCACATATAATTCACTTTGTTATAAAGCAGAAACTAACACCACATATAATTGTAAAGCAATTATACCCCAATAAAGATGTTAAAAAAAAAAGTAGGTCCTGTAAATCCTAATGAAAAGTGCTCTCCAGCAATCTCTGAAATGAGCTTTATCCTATTAAACTGAATGTGTGGCAGAAATGGAGACATTTCCTCAATGGTTATAGGGTAACTAGATGGACTGTGAAACTTTAATCAAGTAGAAAAGCACGTGTACTTCACTGCACCAACAAGTTCTCACAGAGGCAAGTTTCTCTGATTCTAAACAACAACTGGAAAAGGGAAAGGAGAAAATAATGGGACCTAACGTTACTGAGTATCTAGTATATACAAAGCATGCTGTTAGGTATAATAAATATGGTATTAACTCTTCCTACAACCTAGAAATGGAGCTGGGTGAGCAGTTACTTCCCCTGGGCACATTCTCCATAAAAGTAATAGGATGACATGATATTAAAAGAATGATGAGAAGCTATTAGCTTTGTCATTGATATATGAGCGGTTAGACCATGAGATGTATCGGAAAGGTAATCTTGGGTGAAGTTTTCTTTTTTTCTTGGGAAAAAAATGAGAGTTCAAAGAAATGAAGTAACTCATCAGAGATGAAATAGGTAGTGAAGGTATAAACCAGGATTCAAACACAGTTCTATTTTAATGATAAAATCTGTGTCCTTTCCATTGCACTCCACTCCACCATTTAATGAAAGGAGTTGAAAGTTGGGTGATGCTGTTCTGAAATCAGTGATCTGAATAATATTAAAAATGGAAAATCATGGAATCTTAGAGGCGTAACTCCAAGATACTATCTACTACCTTCTAAAACAGAGCAAGTGGGGCAGTCACCCCAGAACTCTCACTTTGGTAAACCAACTAAAATGTATACTTTTTGGAAACAGAAGTAGAAGTAGACCACACTCTAGCCTCCCTTGCAGATTGACCAATGATTTTTGACCAATGGAATTTGAGCTGAAGAAAAGTGTACCATTTCTGGGCCCCAAAACTTAAAAGATGTGTCTGTGGTCCTTACATGTTCTTTTCCCCTTTATGTGAGCTAGATATAAATGATGGCAACTAGGACATGGGAACTGATGGCCGAGCCACAGGGTGCAAAGGACCCAGGGCACTGAATTACCTCATGAAAGAAAGCCACTCACCAACCTGGCACACTCACATTGGCCTATATAAGACATAAACTTCAGTTGTGCAGGAGACCCTTTGAGATCAATTGGTTACAACAAGTGATCTTACTCTAGTATAGAAATGAGTACCATGAAGTGAGTATTGCCACATGCAAACCTAAAATATGTGGTTCTAAATTTGCAGTCAGGGAGCAAGGAAATAGACATTTCAGCCTGGAAAGCTGGAAACTTCAGTGGCAGGACATTTGGTTGGTTTTTCTTGCTTCATTAGACAAGATATTCGAGCAAAAATTGGCTAGTTTGAGATTTAAAATGGGAAGTAATATAGAGAATCCAGAAATTTGGGGCTTCACTGGGCTTGAAAAGCCAACTGCTTCTGAATCTAAACAATAAAGATAGACTCAAAAAAGCATTGAAAAGTAATAGCTCACACAGTTTTTGCAGTTATTCAGAGGGAGTCCCAACTTATGATCTTCCCTTCTTCTAGATGTCTGCCCCCATTTCTCTGGCACAGAGGGAGGATTAGATCCTTTAATAAATATTCATTTAGAATAGTCCAAGAAATGTGGAATTCCCATCATTGTTTCTGGACTTAGATGCCTAAGTTACTTTCCGTTGTTGTGGTAGATTTCACTGTTGTGCATTCAGGCAGCGTGGTAGGCAGAATCGTGGCCCTTACTGTTTCCGCATCTTAATCCCTGGAACCTGTGAATATGTTACCTTACATGGCAAAAGGGACCTTGCCCATGTGAAGTGAAGGACCTTGAGATCTGGAGGTTATCTAGGTGGGCTTTAACAATAATAACAAGGATGCTTAAAAGAGTCATAGAAGATGCTATGACCAAAGCAAAGAGCGTCAGAGAAAGATTTGAAAAGATGCTACAGAGTTGGCTTTGATGTTGGAAGCCAGCATTGATGGAGGAAGGGGCCATGAGCCGAGGAATGCAAGCAGCCTCTACAAGCTGGAAAAGGCAAGGAAACTGATTCCTAGTATCTCTGGAAGGAACGCAGCTCTGCAACACCTTGACTTTAGCCTGGTGAGACCCATTTCATACTTACGATCTCCAGAACTGAAAATAATAAATGTGTGCTGGTTTAAGCCACTACGTTTGGGGCTATTTGTTATGGCAGCAATAAGAACAGATAGTTAAGTTGAAGATCATAGGTGTGGCAAGAAGAGAGCTTTTCACTGTCTTGATTAAATAGGCTCTGAGGGCGTTAGCTGAACATTCACTAGGAGCTGAAGGGAGGGACCAAGACCTTTAGGAGAGGGCACAGCAGTCCTGGACCCTTCATGCTCGGTCACAATGCTCTACAATTAGAGTATAAATCTCTTCCAGACAGAGACGAAGATCCTCAAAGCAGTCCAATTACAATGGAGAGAAAAGTCCAAAACCCAGAAGGGCAGCATCGTGTAGTGGCTAAGAGCACGTAGCCTTCAGATTTTCTGGGTTCAAGCTACTTTCTAAGCTGTGTCACTGTGAGGATGCTTAACCTCTCCATGCCTCAGTTTTCCATCTGAAAAAAGAAGAATAACTGTAGTATCTTTGTAAAACGATTGTGAGAGATAAATCACTGACATGTAAAGCACTTAGAACAGTATCCGGCTCATGGTAAGGAGTGTAAGGGGGTGCTACTACTTGCTACCTAGAGGGTGAATGAATAGCAGTGAGACTCATAGCTGGTTATTGGCACAGCCAGGGCTGGTATCCAGATGTCTTGTCTCCTGGTTCAGGGATTTTTTTTTTTACCAGTAGATGGAGTGACCCTGTGAATAGCTGGGAGAGGAGAAGCAGTTAGCCACCTAGCGGTATGATGGGGCTGTGGCATCGGGGAGGAAGTGGAATGATCTGGGTTAGCCTGCTCCCTGGGTTTCTTCATGAATCAGTCAGGGTTCTTTGGTTGCAACCACAGAAACTGCTTGGGCTGATTTAAGTGAAAGGGAGCCGATTGGCAGGATTGGTGGTGGTAGGGGGGACTCTCACAATTGATGGGAAGGCTGAAGACCAGGGAAGCAAGAGCCCCCACCATGGCCCTCCAGCAGGAAGGGCCAGGTTGGGGTGTGACCCCTAAATGAATCTGATTCTTTTGTCCTGGTCCCTTGCTGAAGATTCAGTGTCCTGGAAGAGAACATCTGGGACGAAGTGAGAGAGTGGCATGGACATATATACACTGCCAACTGTAAAACAGAAAGCTAGTGGAAAGCGACCACATAGCACGGGGAGATCAGCTCGGTGCTTTGTGACCGCCTAGAGGGGTGGGATAGGGAGGGTGGGAGGGAGGGAGATGCAAGAGGGAGGAGATATGGGGATATACGTTTATGTATAGCTGATTCACTTTGTTATACAGTAGAAACTAACACACCCTTGTAAAGCAACTATACTCCAGTAAAGATGTTAAAAATAAATAAATAAAAATAAAAGCAAAACTGTTGACAGTGTTCTCCATGAATGAGTGAGTCAATTATGGTCTAGGTTAGAAAGCAGAATCCCTCTGATCCCTGCCGTCATGGGGCTTACGGTTTAGTTGATTCACTTGGTGAGTCTGTTTTTCCAATGCATAGAATGTGAGATCATGAAATACACTACACTGGAAGCTGGGAGATGTGGGTTCTTTCCCAGTCCTCTGTAATTAGTGTGACCTCGGGCAAGTCACTTCACTTCCAAGATCCTATTGACTCATAGGTTCCCTGAAAAAGTATGTAAATTTTGTGTGTAAGTTCATGTTCATATTTTCCAGAGGACAGTGTCCATAGCTTCATTAGCCTCTTGAAGATTCATTTGCAACTTGAAAGACTCTTCAAGATCCTAGTGGTTAAAAGTTTTTCTCATCTATAAACCCCAATTCTCTTCTGGAATGTTCCAAGACAAGAACAGTTTTCAGTCTGAGAGCTGGAAGGGAAGGTGAAATCATTTGATAGATCAACATCCTTTGCCAAACATGAAAACTAAGAGCCAGGTGGTTTATGAAAACAGAAGCAAATCAAAATATGAAGACGTGATTTAACAGCAGGTTCCTCAGTTTCTGTTCCCTGAGGGAGTTTCATACTCTTGTCTTTGTTTTTCAGATGCCTTCTGGGGATTCCCTCAGAATCTTTCTGGAAGGGTCAGACTTGGTTCTCTCCTGAAGCAGATAAGGATAAAGAGGTGGCCGTTCCTGAATGGCTCCTCTGGACGCCCTTGGCCTTCCCTGATAGGAACCCCAACTGCCAAAGCAGAGGGAGGCCCTATGGCGGCAAGCTAACTGAATCGTAAACGCCAGCCACGTGCATGTTCTGGGGCTGTGTAAGCGGCAGTGGAGCACAATGGTGCAGATTGCCGCATGTGCCGTTTGGAAAAGGAGGGAGCTGCCTCGCTCAGCTTTCTTTTTAGCTCGGTGATTACAGCTGAGCCCACAGACAAGTAACTCAGATTCTTTTTGATAAGGTACTATGGGCTTTTAATTGACTCTTACATTTCTGACTGCTTTTTGACCTACATGTGATAGCTGTTAGAGGATCAGCATTCTAGGAAATGTGTCATTAACTAAATCCCTTTCTGCTGCCTGTTTATTCTTACCCAGAAATTAAATAACCTCTGATATCCTATGAAGACTTTTCCTCCTTTGTTCAAGATGTGAACTCCCAACACCACTGAGTGAGTTAAAGAGGAGACTCTGCTCCCTTTTCAGTGGTCATCTAACATAGGACTGTGTACTCAAGGGACTCAGGGCACTGGTTTGAGCAGGTCAACAACAGTTGTGGAGGGTGTGGTCTGTGGAGTGACTCTGCCCACTTTAGCGACAAGGAACCTGCAGCTCTGTGAAGTAAGGCCACTTGTCAAGTTCACAGTGGCGAGAAGAGATGGACGTCCTGGGTCTTGGGTTTTCTGGTGTAGCGTGTGTTCCTTTTGTCACAGCATGGCCCCAGGTATCGCTCTCAGCCCCACCCGTTTGCCCAGCAGTCTGCCCCATCACCACCCTTTCCTCCTGAGAGGTTGGAAATGTGGACCTTTAGAAGTGACGTACACATCGGACCCTAACGGTTGCATCATGGTCTTTACGAGGCCACTGTTAAGTGCAGGTTGTAGCTGAAGAGAGAAAGACAGTGTATGAGGGGGCTGCTGCATTCTTGTGAGTGTGTACACGAGAGCGGGGCGGTGAGGAAGACAGGCTGAATCCTGTTTGAGCGAGAGACATCTCTGAGCATCGGAGGGCAGGCCATCAAAATATCTCCAGGTGGGCATAAGAGGGTGGTATTCCAGGCAAGTGAGAGCTCAGTCCCCGGATGGGAGAGGATTCAGTCCTTGCATGTGTGTTAGGGGCAGTTTTCCATGGGTGTAAGAGGGCTGTGTCCCCACGTGTGAAAGGGCTTTGTCCTCGTGAGGTAGGAGGACAAAGGGTCCCCAGGAGAGAGAGGATTGAATTCTTGTGTGTGTAGCAGGGTTGGTTTCTGCAGCTGTCAGAGGGTCATGGCTCTGTGTGAGAGAGAGAACCAGGCCCCATTGGGCATGAGATGGCGGAGACCCCATTATGAAAGACTGGGCCCCGTTTATGAGGGAGTGCTATGGTTATCTACTGTTGCATACCAAACTTCTTAAAACTTAATATCATAAAACTATGACCCTTTTATTATCTCTCCAGCTCCGTGAGTCAGAAATCTGCACAGGACAGAGCTGCATGGCTCCTCTCTGCACAGCCCCCCTCACCCCACCATGACTGTGGCCTCAGCTGGGATGGACCAGATAACTGTAGATGGCGAGAATGGCTCGCCTGGGGCCCTCTCAATTCTGGCTCTTCCTTGCTCCTTTAGATCGCATTTGCTGAGGCTGGAATGTGCACAAGGGCTTCTTCACGCTCAGGCTTGGCCCCTTGCTCAGATAGCTGGAACAGCTGAAGCTGGTCAGTCATCTTTTCTAGTGGCTAGACTGAGCTTCTTACGGGGCTGCTGGCTTCCCACAGAGCCAGTGCTCCAAGAGACAGGAGATGGAAGCTGTGTTTCTCATACAGAAAATGGCTCAGTGTCACTTCTGTCGTATTCTGTTGGCCAAAGCAGTCATAGCGCCTGCTCAGATTCAAGGGGAGGGAACAACCCATCTTTCAATGGGAGGAATGTCAGAAAATGTGTGGCCATCTTCAGTCTGCGGTAATGATGCATGAATCTCTCTGTGCCTAACAGGGCTGGGTCCTCAGGTATTTGAGAAGACAGGATCTGTGTGTGTGGAGAGGAAGGGATCCCTGTTGGGTAGACTCCAGAGAGAGGTGACCATTGTGGGTATGTGCTGGCAGTAGGAGAATCCAATGGAACAGGGAGGTTTCTGAGTGGGACTGAATGAATGCTGTGCTTCTGCACTTGGTACATTGCTGGCTGCACCTGTCACCTCTGGTATCACTGGGTGGCAAACGGATGCTCTGAAGGGTGCTAAGCCAGGCAGGTCCTGCTGTGGATCTCAGACTGAGAATTTCCAAGTGGCAGATCTTCCCTAGCTTCCACTCTGGGCCAACTCCCCTGGCCTCACACATTTGTTTCCAGGTTGACAAGTAGCAGACATTTCTGCACCATGCATTGTGTCTCTGTGAGGAGTTTGGCCAACTGTAAAGTTAGAGGGAACAGGCCTCAAGGCTGCCCTCACCTCTGACACCAGCTACAAGTTCAAGGGGCTCCCCAGACCACCCTCAGCTTCGATACTTTGCTAGAAGGACTCACAGAACTCACTGAAAGCTCTTATACTCATGGTTTTGGTTTATTACAGGGAAAACATACAGGTTAAAAGCAGCCAAGGGATGAAGTGCATAGGGCAGAGACAAGGAAGTGCCGACTGCGGAGCTTCCACAGTTCTCTCCTTGTGGAGTCAGGCCATGGCACGTCCCTGGCACCAATGTGTGACAATACACACAAAGTACTGCCAACCAGGAAAGCTCGTCCAAGCCGTTATGGTCAGAGTTTTTATTGGGGCTCCATTACATGGGCATGATTGATTAATTTCCCATGTGGTTGATCTCAGTTTCCAGGCCGACTAATGCTGTGTGACTCAAAGCCTCCACCCTCAATCACACTGATGGTCTTTTCAAAGTGGCCAGCCCCTAGCCTTATTCATATTGTTAATAATTTGGCCAGCTCAAGGACCACAACTGAACAAAGATGATCTCACAGGAGCCGAGGGCACAGGCCAGACCTCTCTTTCAGTAAGGTTAAATTCTTCACTACATGGTCTCACGTAGAGAAGGCAGCTAGCAGTGTGGATAGGTTTCCCTCATGTGAACAGTCCCAGTGGCATCCAAGAGTTAGGTTGACGTGGTTCTTTCCAGTATATGAATTCAGGCAACTTTAATAGTTCTGCTTCCAAATCGTAAAATGTTTCAGCTTTTCTTTTTCTTTTTCTTCCCGCAGTGTTCTCTGTAGCCCCCCACCCCCAGAACCCTGGGTACCACCTTCCCTTCGTTAGAAGCATTGAGAAAATAAATGGGATGGGCAGTGCCTCAGCTTCTCTCTGTCACAGATTTCCCTTGTTTCCTTTATCTTCTATATTCCCTCCTTCCCAACTCAGAAATGGGAGTGTTCGCCTGCGCCAGTCCCTCCATCCTGGAAATGCCACCTCCCACCCACTCTGGATTCTTGATCCTCAGTCACTCCTGTTCTCAGTTTCACTTTCTCCTCCTTCAGTGGAACATGCGCACACCCACCAGCTCCCCTCTAGCCACCATTTTCTGTGTTTTGGTACCTTCCATTTTTAAACTAAGCCATTTCTTACATTTCCTTTTTTTTTTCTAATTTTCTCCACTGAAGAGTCATAATGACTGCAATGGGCATTTATGTGGTGCTGTGTAGTTTACCAAACAGTATTGCATACCATCGTAGGATCCCTTGTTTTCATGTACCTGATAGCTGTTTCCCTTTCTTTAAGTAACAATACCCCAATTTTGTTTTTTTGTTTTTTGGGGTTTTTTTTTGCGGTACGCGGGCCTCTCACTGTTGTGGCCTCTCCCGTTGCAGAGCACAGGCTCCGGACGCGCAGGCCCAGCGGCCATGGCCCACGGACCCAGCCGCTCCGCGTTATGCGGGATCCTCCCGGACCGGGGCACGAACCCGTGTCCCCTGCATCGGCAGGCGGACTCTCTGCGCCACCACTGCGCCACCAGGGAAGCCCAATACCCCAATTTTGAAGAACAATATCTTCGCCATTTGGGACTAACAATCTTGTTGGAACTGTCAGTCAAGATGCCCACCCTGTTCTTGCCAAGGGGTTGTTGTGTGATCCCGGCCAGTCAGTCAGGTGCTCCCTCCCTAGAACAGGAATCTTAGCTGAGTAATATGAGACTGAAAGTGG